AGGGGTTCATAGAGAAGGCAGTGGCTGAGCTGGGTTTTGTCGGTTGAGTAGGCGTTTTCCAAGTAAAGACAAAATAAGGGGGTCTTCAAAGGCTTTCCCCCTGAGAGGTCGAAGGCTGGAGGTGATGAGAGCAATGGGCACGAAGCTGGAAATGTACATGAGGGCTGGATGGCCAAGGGACTGGAATACCCCTGAAGAGTGAGGACCAGCATGGCAGATTCTTGGAACAGTCTGGAGTCACTTTGCGTGGTGGAAATGCCGCATGGATTACCTGCACTTGCTGTAGGCAGTGGACAGCAGCTTGCCTCCTGGCCCCTGCGTCCTGGTCTGTGAAGTGCTCAGGGCAGGGGGAGCCCTTCACCCTCATGTGCAGAGGGTGGAGGAGATGGAGCCACCACTTTCAGGATCCTGTCCCCACACCCCACCAGCGGGACTCCAGACCAACTTTCACTTTGACCCACCTTCTGGGAACTCGGACTGTGCCTGTCACCGGGCTGTGTGGACGGAACTTGGCAAAGGAGAGATAAACAGATCCAGGCTCCCAGGCTGTTTCATTTTCTGCAGCTCAAGCTGGGGACGAGGACTCAAGTTACCTGAGAATACCCTGCTGTTTACCGAGCAGTGAGAATCAGCCAATCACTTCCTCCAAACTTCCAGACCCGAGAGCTCAGGTGCCAATCATGTGCGCAGAGCAAATCTAGATGCAAACTTAAGACATAGTTTGGGCCTCACTGCAGTATTGACAGGTTATCTCTCCATGTCAGTCGATGCCAGATTGCCATGTGCGGTTTTCCTTGATAGAAAATTTACCCAGCACCTGCCTATCATCCCAATGCTTGGGAGGCTGAGGCAGGCGGGTTGAGGGTTGGAGGCCAGCCTGGGCCATATAATGAGACTCTGGCTCAAACAAAACAAGCATTTGAAGAAAATGCAAAATATAAACTAGATTAGAAAGCCCCTTGTCCATAAACTTGTATCTTTATTGATGTCTCCTTGGTCCAGCCCATAGGGTGCCCAGATTCTGTCACTGTTTGCAACTGGGATGCAAATGAGGACGACAATGGTTATACCTGTTTCACAGGACTCAATGGGAAGTTATACCTGAATGGCTTAGGCGACGTGAGGAAACCTGTCTCTACTGCTATTATTAGCAGCGGATGGGAGAGAACGGGGCCAGGTCCCTGTGGCTTCATGGCTGGGGTGCAGCCTGCTTGGTGTGTCATAGCTCCTGGATTTGGGCGGTGATGTATTTTCTTATTTGCACGTGTTCACATCCTCCTGACCTTCCCAAAGCAGGGCCCGGTGGATATGCTCAACAGGCCTCTTGATTCATGCGGGCCTCACCCCCTCCCACCATTCCTGATCCACCCCCTCCTCCTGCCCCTGGCCGTGCTGCTCCCAGCGGCGGGAGGCGAGGGATCAGCCACGCGTCACGCTTCCGGTCGGTCCTGTGTCGCGGTCCCTGGCAGCCCCGACCCCCACCAGCTCCTGTGCCGCTGACCCCTGACCCTTGGGCCAGTCCATAGGGATCTTCTGCCCAAGTGGCTATACATTTCCTCACTGGTCACCGCGGGTAAGGCACCCCCGCCGGCCTCCTGTCATTTACCTTGGACCCCGCGGTGGGTGAGGCCAGGAAGAGGAGGCTCAGGACTCCGCGGGGCGCAGGCTGGGCCGGGCCGGAGCCTGGATGGCCCGGATGATGGGGATGACCTTGCCGGCATGACCTTGGCTCTGGGTTGTGGGGTCTCCCGAGGGCCCAGAGAGCTCAGCCGGCCGGACAAGTGGGTGTTAACTGAGACTGCCCGGGAGGCCCGAAGGGAGCGGAGCCGAGAAGGCCCGAGCGCTGCCGGACAGGGCCGCACTGAGCGGACTGGCTCCGGGCGCCGCCGCCGCCGAGCAGAGCTGAGCCGGCGTCGGCTGCGCGGTGACGTCATCGGCGCGTGGCACGCGGCGGCCGGAGCAGCAGTGCGCAGGCGCGGTGCTCCGAGGCCGCCTGGGGCTCGCTCCACCCGGCACGGACGACGACGACGACGGCCAGGACGAGGACAGCCAGCGACAACCACCAACCGACGACGACGGGGAACAGCGAAAAGCGCAGACGCAGGAGGGTGAGTTCGGAGGCCACACTTGGGCCGAGGCCACCTGCTGGCGCTCGTGGGCCTTCGAGGGCCGTGTGCGGGGTGCAGACGGAGGGGCCCGCAGGCACCGAGCCCGCCACGGCGTGTGTCAGGTGCCGCCCTGGGCGCGGTGCCGGCTCTCGGGGGTGGGCGCGGGACGCAGGCCCCCACGGGCCCCGCGGCACCCCCGCCGCTTCCCGAGGCCCTGCCCTGACGGAGGGCCGGCCGCGGGGCAGGGCGGGCTCTGCATCCTGCGTCCTCCGCTTGCTGTTGTCCTGATTGGCTGGAGCCGAGGGGCGTGGCCACGGCGGCCCCGCCCCCAGCCCACTCCCGACAAAAAGCCAGGCACAGGCTGGCGGCCTGAGGCCTGGTCGAGGCCTGGTCGCCCCCCCCCCCCCCCCCCCCCCGGCCCCCAGTTCAAGTGCACACTCCCTACCGCGGCCTGCCAGGCTCCTCCCGCGCTCTCCCACCTCCGCTCAGCCTTTCCAGCACCTTCCACCACGCTGTTGCCCGCCTGTCCCCCAGGCTCCCGTAGTTGTTTGCTGTCGGGTGCCCCCCCCCCCCGCCCCCCCCCCCCCCCCCCCCCGCGCATGGCTTCGGGGAGACGAGGGTCTGCACGTCCCTCCCGCGCTGCGCAGGCCTCTGTTCTCTGGTTCCTTCTGGTTTGCGGGTTTTGTTGTTGAGGTGGGGGGGGGGGGTCTCACCGCGTGGCCCTGGTACCAGGGCCCGGGACTCAGGATTTTCCCACCGTCTTACCAATGTTTGAGCACCTCAGCCTGCAGGCAGACGTGTGTGGAGTCCCTGCTGCAGGCCACGTTCTGCGCTAGGAGCTTTGTTGGGCGCCTCACAGAAAGGGTTGGCTGTCCATTTCTCTGGGAGATCTACCTGTTTGCAAGGCTGGGGACCCCAGTGAGCTGTGGAGTTTGCCTTTCACTGGCTTCCTGTAGTCCTTCCTCCTTCAGTCCACTCTTTAAGAAACCAAGTGTGTGGAGTGGGAAAGAGCTGGTCCCAGGCCTGGCTAGCCTTTTGAGCTGTGACCTCCCCACAGACAGACTTTGCCCAGCTTCTGTCCAACTAAAATGGGGACCCGGGTTACCAGCTCAAGGATGGCTTTGAGGATCAGCCTCATCATCCCAGAGAGCCGCCCCTTCTCATTCTGCCTGTCCCGCAGCTCATGGCTCAGAGACGCTGGCACACCAGCCAGTCTCGGCCCTCCTCTCACTTTTCACTCGCCTACAGTTGACATAAGCGCTCCTGAATCATGAAACTGAGGTTTGAGAGCGAGATAAGAGAATCTGCCCCACCAGGAAGCCGCGTGGTGTGGCATGCACACGCGCGCCGGTCGCCTGCCCTGGCACTGGAGTATAGATAGCCCTGTGGGGCTTTCAGGTCCCCTTCTGTGGGTCAGCATGGATTTTTTTTCTTTCAAGTGACTCATAAAGAGCCGCCCATGCACTCGCTTGCAGGGACCTTCATTCCTGACTGTGCCGCTCCGCTCTGACACCAGGCCTGGGTTAGTGTGTAGCACTTGCATAATGAAAATAGGATTTTAAAACTTTTTTCAAAGTAGGAAATCCCCACGCCTGTTGTAAACTACCTGCCAGTTCTGCCCTGTTGAGAGGAGGCCCGGGGCCTCATCTGCAAAGAGAGGCCTCAGGAGGTGGGCGGCAAAGGTGCCCACAGATCCATGCCAAGTGCCACCTAAGCCTGGTGGCAGTGTGACTGGTACTGTTGTGGTGCTCTGCTGGTGGTGCACAGCGGTTCTTAGCCCTCTGATGCATCCTGTGTGGGGTGGTGATGGGGGGGTGCCCTGGTACCTCATCTCCAAACCTTCCTCTCCATCCAGGTGCTGTCCTGGGGTGGGGGTGGGGGTGGAGAACAAAGATAGGGCCAGGGCCTCGTGATCCACAAGCAGATACTGTCCTTGGGCCATCCCCACCCAGGGGGTCCCAAGCACTCTCATGCCCAGCACAAGCCCAGGCTACTCCAGCTGGCCAGCTGTTTTCCACTACACTTTCAAATCCGAAAGGCATCATTAAGTATTAGGACATCCCATTACCTCCCATGTCCCGGGAGGCAGGGCTTTGCTGTTCCCCCTAAACCAGACAATGACCCACTCACTGAGAATCTGGCAGCGAGTGCTACTGCTCGTCAGGAGGAGCGCGAGCCCCAGGGTCCTGGGCGCTTCCTGCGCTATGAGCTGCCCCACCAGCATCCTGGCACAGTGTCCCGTGCTCAGGCAAGCTGCCTATTTTCCAGGCAGAATTGGAGGCCCAGGCCACCAGCAGGGCCCTACTGCCACCCCAGAACACAGTGTCTTTCTGGCTCCTAGCTGGGTGCTCACCGAAAAGCACCCAAGACGGAACAGGGCAGGAAGCAAGCAGGCAGAACAAGCTTGACCCTGACCCTGTGGACCAGGCCTCCAGGATGCAGTTTCAGAACGGCCACACCCCCTTCCAAAAAGTCCTCCAGCCCCCACCTCGCCCCCACCCTCTTCCTGGAAGTTGCTGTGGTCTAGAAGCAAAGAAGTTTCCTCTCTGTCATCCATTTCAAGCAGACTGTGGCTGGACAACCACAGAGCGAGCAATGGCCCACCCTCGGTTTTCTCTGCTGTAAGGTGGGGACAGAGCCGTGCCGAAGCCACAGGGCTGTTTCTCTCTGGGATTAGTGGGAGCAGGGGAGGCACAGAGGGGCTGGCATGCATCAGGAGCTCAGTCTCTGGCCGCCATCTTACCAGACACACACCAAAACTAGACCAAGAGTTTCCGAAGCCAGCTGACCCCCCCAGCCCCGGGTCCAGGCAGAAGCCCCCCTCCCCTGAGCCTGCACAGACCCCCATACAACTTTCAGCAAAGCACACGCTCTGGAAACTTGTTCTAAAAAAACAAAAAACCTTTCATAATAAAGTTTATTACCGAAACTGTAAAAAATATAAAATAGGGTTCTGCACAGCAGAAAAATAAAGCCAGAGACCCTCCCCCACCCCTGGTTTGTGCAAAGATACTGGGTGTATGTAAACATGAAGAGGTAGGAGTGCGAGTTCAGGTCCTGGCCCCAGCCATACTTAAGCCGGGACAACCAGGGGAACCCAGGGGGAGCACCAGGAGGGGAGCACCCCCGAGAAGTGGGGAGGGGTCTGCGGCCTCGTCTCCAGCCGAGAGCGGGAGGCGCCTCGCCCCCCCACACCCACTCCCTCCACCCCGGGTGGGGAGGGCACCCACGTGGTTCCAGGCAAATAATAATAATAATATAATAATAATAACGAAACGGTCAGGCGCCCGGTTAATGCTGCGTGCAGGGCGGGCCGCCGGGCGGGCCGGTCAGATCCGGAAGGGGAAGGAGCTCAGGTAGTCGCGGAGGACCGGGTTGAGGGGGATGCGCGCCAGGTTCTCGCGGCCCACGGTGGCCACGATGCGCTGGCGGCACAGCTCCTGCAGCGGCCGCACGCGGCGCTGGCGCAGCGGGGCCCCCAGCATGCGGCGCGGCGCCGCCACGTAGTGCTCCAGCAGCTCGAACAGGCAGTCGAAGCTCTCGCGGCTGCCGTCCAGGTGGAAGCGGCCGGCCTGGAAGTGCACGCGGATGCTCGTGGGGCCCGAGGCCATCTTCACGCTCAGGGCGAAGAAGCAGTTCCGCTGGCGGCTGTCGCGCACCAGGAAGGTGCCCACGGGCTCGGCGCGCAGCCGCTCGTGCGCCCCGTGCACGCTCAGGGGCCCCCAGTAGAAGCCGCAGGCGTCCAGGAGCGCGCTGGCACGCGTGATGCGCCGGTAATCGGCGTGCGAGCGGAACGTGCGGAAGTGCGTGTCGCCCGGGCCGGGGGCCGGGGCCGCCGGGCAGGGGCGCGGGCGCGCGGGGGCCGCGGGCGCCGAGGAGGACGAGGGGGAGGAAGACGAGGTCTCGGGCCGCCGTCGGGACTCTGCTGCCGTGGAGATTGCATTGTCGGCTGCCACCTGGTTGTGTGCTACCATCCTACACGAGGGGCCTGCCGGAGGGGTGGGCCATAGCGTCCGGGGGTGCGCTGCTGGGGAGACGAGCAGTGAGCGCGCGCCCGGGCGCAGCGCGGCAGGTCCGGGGGGGCGGCCGGACCCCCCGAGGCCAGGCGGAGCGCCGGGTCCGCGCGGCGCCCCGGGGCCTCCATGACCCCGTCTGGAAAATGGGCTTCTCTCGCCGGGCCCCCCTCCAGGAGGCCGGGGAGCTCCCGCCTCCCGGCGGCTGGCGGAACGGGGCCGGGAAGCCGGCCCGACCCCGGCCGCCCGGCCCGCGGCCGCCGCCTGCCGGCCACGCTGGGGATTGCCGCCCGCTCGCGGCGACTTGGGCAGAGAGGCTGGGAAAACGCTGCGCTGCGGGATCCCCGCGCGCGGGGGTCGGCCTGGGTGGGGCCGGCGGGAGCCAGGGGCGTGGCGGCAGGGATCCCGCACGCCCGGCCTGGAGGTTAGGTCGGCCCCGGCCGCCTTTCTCTTCCCTCCCGCTCCCTCCCGCCTCCTCGCCCGCTGGCCGGCTCACCTGGCGGCGGGGCGCGGGGCGCCGCGGGCGGGCGGGGCGGCGGGGGGCTCCGGGGCGGCTCTCGCGCATGCTCCGAGGCGGGGAGCCGTGCCGCTGCCACGGCCGCAGCTCGCTCTGCTGCCGCCCGCCTCTGCGCCAGGCTTTTAAACCGGCCCGGGGCGGGGGCGCGGGCGGCCCCGCCCCCAGCCCCGCCCCCGCCCGCTTTCGGTTTCTCTTTCCGCGGGAGCGCGCGCCCCCTGGGTCCCTTCCCCGGGCTCGGCGCGCCCGGCCTGCGCCCCGGCTGGGTCCCGGTGCTCCCCGCGCCTCGCCTGGCAGCGCCCGGGACGCCGCCTTGGAGCCCCGAGCCCGCACTCTCGCGCCGGCTCTCCGGTCCCCGGGGCGCCGCGGCTGGCGCGGCCACACCCCCTCCGGGGCCCGGGGGTCCGCGCTCGGCCCCCTCCTCCGGGAAGCCCGCAGGGCTCCCGCGCGCCTCCGCAGCCCCCCCCCCCCCCGCTCCACGCCCGCGGCCCCCCCCCTCCCCCCCCCCCCCCCCCCCCCGCAGCTGCCGCCGGCTCAGCCCGGCTCCGACTTCCCAGGAAGCGCCGTCCAGACCACAGGCTTCGGGGGAGCCCTGGGCGGCGCGGGAGGGGCGCCCCACCCACCCCCATCCCAGTTCCTCGGAAACGGGGCGCGGCCAGGCCGGCGCCAGCCTCTCTCCTGCCTCCCCGGGCGGCTCCTGCGGGACAGCGGGAGAAACTGAGGCCCGAGGAGCGCCGGTGATGGGCGCTGGCTGGCGGGTCAGAGCTCGGGCCGGGCCCGCTCGCCCTCGCGTTATCGGGGAGAGATCCGCGGGGCCCCTCCACACCTGGACTCGGCTGCGTCCCCGAGGCCGGGGGCCGGGGCCTGGGTGAAGGGCGGGAGCCGAGTCCGGAGGGTCGCGGCACCGGGCCCAGGCCCGCACTGCCCCCTGCAGGCCGCCCGCGGGCCGGGCCTCGCCGTGTGGACTGGGTGTGACCCGGGGCTGCTCCGGCCCGGCCGCGGGGGCCTCCAGAGACGGAGACAACCCGCCCGGGCCCGGGCTGGGGAGTGCAGGGCCGGCAAAGCCAGGCTCAGACGGGCCTCACCCTGGCCTGGCTGGCTTGGGGCTCTACCGCCGGAGCCACACCTCCAGCCCGGCTTCGGGACGGTTCTTTGGGAGTCCCGGTACTTTTCTGCCAGGGCGGGTTTTCAAGTGATCCTCCAGATCTCCGCGCCCTGTGTAGTTAGGATTATGGGTGTGAGCCCTGGACACGGCCAGCACGGTCACTTCTTAACCCGTGACTTCGGTACGCGACTAGCCCTTTTGTCTGGAGCAACCCGGACCCTGCTGGCGACCACCAGTGCCGGCTAGGTGTTTGTGCCATGGGTCATCCCAGGTGCCTGGAGCGCAGACATTCCCGGGAGTACCGGCTGGCCAGGGCCCCCAGGAGGGGCCCGCCTGGGATGTGACCCTTGACAGTGGGAGAGAAGCAGCCCTGCTGTGCTCTGGAGGAGGCGGGGAGGCTGGGTGGCTCTGAAGACCTTTCTCCCTGCTGCAAAGGCTGCCACTAGCTGATGGTCCTTCTGCACGGGGCCGGGGAGGGGGTGGTCCTATCACTAGCTCATGGTCCTGCATTGGGGCCGTGTAACTAGCTCATGGTCCCTCTGTGTGTGTCTGGGGTGGGCCGGGGGACTGTAACTAGCTCCTGGTCCCTACACTCTCTCTTCCCATTGGTGGCTTCAGGAGCTACTTGGGAAAGCACCTCTTTGCCCCAGCCTGGGACCTCCTCTTCCCTTATCCCCTTGTTGTCCCTCCCGTCCTTGCTGTGTTCCCAGGGTACACAGCTCATTGCAGGGCCAAGGTGGGGATCTAACCTGGTGAAGCCATTCTCCTTCTCCATTCTGCTGTTTCCCTCCTTCCCCCCCCCCCACAGTTTCCAGAGAACACAGCTCACACAGGGCAGAGTTGGGGTTCTGACCGTGAAGCTTTGCCCCATCCAACTGTGCCGTGGGCCCCTCCCCTGCCACCCCTGGGGGTCTCCACCTGGGCTGTCATGTCGAAGAAACCAGAGACACGTGGGGAGGCCTCCCCAGGTCTTGCCCTTATGGACCCCAGTCCCCAGTGTGTACGGTTCCCGGTCTGTCCAGTGGACATGACCCCCACCCCACCCCCGGGCCCTCCCTGGGTGGTGAGTCAGGTGCCCGGGGTCACAGGTTCTGGGCGGCAAAAGCGCACTAACAGTCACTCGGCTTAGCTTTCATTTTCTGAGCCTCAACTTCAAAACGAAACCCAACCCAGACAGCAGAGTGGAAAAAGAAACATGCCCAGCGGCTCCACGGGGCTGGCTGCCAGCTCCCAGGCGTCTGGGCAGCTTGCCTCGGGCGCTCAGCCTGCACGGGACACTCCTCCCAGCTTGCCTCGGGACCTGCCGCCACCCAGCTGTGCAGCCCTGGGCAGGCGCCCTGCCCTCTCTGGGGTGCAGTTCCTCGGAGCAGCTGTGCACAGGGGACCTGGAGCGGGGCGCTGGTGCGGCAGTGAGCGCAGCCTTGCAGTTTCTCTTTCCAGCTTGGGCGGCACTCTGCTGGGAAGAGCAGCCCGCATCATTCTGAAAGTGCTCTCTGCCCCAGTGCCCCTCAGCCCTGCTTTTCCTGGAACACGTTGGCCAGTGAGATTTGGGGAGGAGGGGAGGGGGGCCGTGACCCCTGGGAGCCTGAGTGGGGCCTCAACTGGGATGAGTACAAATCTGAAAAGCGGGACCTTCTGTCTCTGGCAGGTACTGACGGAGCACCTAGCATGCCCGGCACTGGGAGCACCTAGCATGCCATACGCTGGGAGCACCTAGCATGTCCGACACTGGAAGCCAGGGGCCCCCAAGCACAGCTGAGACTGAATTCAGTCATTCCCTCATGCTAAGCACCCGTAGGAAAAAATGGGAACTGAGTATTTGTGGGGGTGAGTTAAACCTCTTACAGTGGCGCTAAGGCCTTGAGGGGTGGGCCAGTGCAAAGGTCCTGGGGTGCAGCTCTCTAGCATGCTTAAAGGTCAAGGCAAGAGAGTGGGGGGGTGAGGCGGAGGGGTTGGTGGGGTCTGGCTGGCCGGGGGGGAGGGGGCAGGTTTCTCCCGCACAGGGCGGTCATTAGGACATGTGGTCGTTGGAAGAGCCCATGTCCCCTTAGGACTGTCCCTACACCAGCCGCGGAAACAGGGGCTGTGGGAGAGCCAGGACCCCAGGCTCCCTGCCGCAGGTGGGCAGCACCGCTCTGTCTGTGCCCCTGGGTGGAGCCATGGCCCAAGGGCCCAGAGGGCCAGGGCACCCTGGCTGGGCACACCTGGCTGGAGGCCTTCCTCCCTGTGTTGGGCAGAAGGTCATCTCTGCCCCTCATTCTTTCCTGCGGTGGACCCCAGGTCCATGGAGAGGGGTTCGGGGGGCTCCGGGGCCCTGGAGCGAGCGACAGGCTGCAGAGGTCCTGGGAGGACAGCAGGAGTGGGTTCCCGACGTCTCGATCTGTTCACGTGTCCCAGGCCCTCTGCCCCACAAACAAGTGAGACGTGGGCAGCGGGGGGCCCCCAGGGTCCACAGAGGCTGCAGGGCCGGCCCCCGATGCCGCCCCATCACGCCGTCGTCAGAAGAGCCAGCGCGGGGGGGTGCGGGCAGCGAGGCGTGCGCCGCCCAGCACAAGGCCGGACTGACCAGGCTCCCGGCTTCAGCCTTGTGTTTCGGGGCCCGCAGGCTGGGGAGCACCTGGCCCTGTGAGGAGGGGGTGAGTCCAAGTTTTCCAGAAGAATGGGCCTTGGTCTAGGGCAGGATAGAGGGCACAACTGGCAGTGTGCCATGGAGGGCCCTGCGCAGGTGAGGCCCCGGGCCCAGCTGCTGTCCCCTTCCTCTGCCAGCTCCCAGGCCTTCCCTGGAAGGCTGGCATACATCCGCTGGCCTCCAGGACAGGCTCGGTCCAGAGCGACTGCCTGTGTGCTAGCACTGTCCTGTCAAGTGACAGCGATCAGACAGTGCGGGTCCTCAGAGACCGTGAGAGCGGCCCGGGGAGGGCGTTCTCTTCCGCTCTGGGGGTCCCCCACAGGCCCCACTGCATACCAGCCTTTGCCAGACCGTACCTCACTGCAGGACCCCACTCTGTTTCCAGGCTGGCCACCCCACCCCAAACCTGTATGTGCCGTGTGGCGGTGTGTCCCGCAAGTGGCTGGCACATGGCCGTGCGCGTGCGTGGTGGAGGCTGGGGGGATGTGTGCGGTTGGAGCGGTTACATACGAGGGCCCGGCCCCACTGCACCTGCTCCCCTCTGCAGAGCCCCGCCCCACTCGCTGTCCCTGCCCCCACCTGTGCTTTCAAGCTAGGACAGCCCATGCGACAACTTTCTGAGTGAAACCAGGCTGACTCCAGGATGGCCTTCCAGTTCAAGCTTTAATGAGTGTTGCAATAATCACCGTGGTGACGTGTTCCTGCGAAAGGTGGCGGTCACCAAGGCGTCCGTCATGGTGGCCTTCCTCCGAATGCATCCCACACAGAGCAGCCCGGAGTGCCACCACCTCACTTACGCTTTCGCCCTGACGGAGGAGCGGGAGGGACGGTAAGCCGCGGCTGGACCCAAGACCCAACCTGCTCGGTCCTGACTGCCCACCAGGCGTTGTGGAGCTTGCCTGAGTGAATTTGCCCAGCGTCCCTCCACACCCAGTGTGGTCAGCTCCTCCGCACATCCGTGCACGCGGCCATCCCTTCAAGCCCAAGCGATCCGCAGCCATCCGCCCACCCCTCAGCCATGTCCTCCCGGCTGCACTCGCCCAACCACCTACTAGCCAGCGTGTCTAACCAGCCCGTGCATCCAGTCCACCCGCCACCCAGCTCATCACCTCCGCGCAGCTTCCGTCATTCATCTGCGTCTCCCCCGGCTGGAAGCGTACCTGCACCTCGCCTCTTGGTTCTCTTTCCCTGCCTGCCCCTCTTGATGACCTTTCTCTTGTTCACCTTCCCCTCCAAGGTCTTTCTCTTCCTGGAGCAGCCACTGTGGTGGGTGGGCCGTGGGGTGGCCTGCCTGGAGGTCTTGGATGGTGGGCTGGGGCTAGGGTTGGGGCTCTGGCAGCCGGATGGACTGCGGCTGCGGCTGCAGCTCGGGCAGTGGAGTCTGCGGGAACACTGGTTGCAGGGGTGGCTGCTGTGGGGAGGCTGGGAGTGGGCCGTGGTGGAGGGACTCTGCGTCTTGGTGTCCATGGGGGTGTACTCGGAGGGGCAGGCCACCTCCTCCTCCTCTTCTCCCAGCAGGCCCAGCTCTGCACAGGCCTGGCATCATGGGTTATATAGCCGGGGCCTATTGTGATGGCACAGGTAACAGAGGATGATGCCTGAGGCCAGACCAGGACAGAGTCTGCCCCTGACGCTCGCCCCAGGGCAAGGCAGGGCAAGGCAGGTTAGCTTGCAGTGCGGTGGGGGAGGGGGGCATCCCAAGTCGAGGCTCTGATCAGATTGAGTGGTGCTGTGCATCCCACGTGGGCACATTCGTTCTGAGTCTTCACTCCTCCATGGAGCTTAGCCTGGCACCCAGGTCCTTGGCCTCCATGGCTCCATCTCTCTGCTCACCCCCTCACCCATCCGTCCACCCGTCCAAGTGCTCCACTGGCCACCAAGCACACTCCCATCTTGTTTCCGGCCCTTCCTCCAGCATGGCACCGTTCCATTCCGCCCCACCCTCTCCCGTCAGTTATACGGTGCATTCCAGCACCTGCTGTTGTTTGCGGAGGGGGTGCTGGCCGGTCACTGCCCGCCTCACAGGACATTGGGAGCATGTCCTGAGAGCAGCTCTGCCAGGCCGTCGGTGCGGGCCCAGCCTCTGGAGCCCCAGCAGCTCCTCTTGGCCTGCTGGCCCGCACGGGGTGGTGGGTGGGAGGGCGCGGGGTGGGAGGGCGCGGGGCGGGCGGGCCCAGCACTGATTGGACAATGGTCCGCAGGAGCAGCAGTGCACAGGCGGCCCCGGGCCATGGCCAGTCCACCTCTGTGGCAATCCTCACACATCTAGGAGGTTCAGGGCCAGGTTCAAAGCCCACTCGGTACCAAGTGCCACAGGGCACCCGTGTCCGCGCCTCTACTCCTGGAGCCTTCAGAGGAAAATGGGTCTCTGTAGACAGGATTAAGCTAAGACCCTTGACCTAAGTGTGGAGACCCACTGCCTGGTGCTCTTGCTGGGCACAGAAGAGCCAGCACCCCAGGGAAAGACTTGCAGAGACTGGGCTGGAGGCCAGGCGTGGCGTGGCATGGCGTGGCGCAGTGTCCTGAGATGAGCAGGCTCTGGGTTCTAGCTCAACACCACAGAAAGCACAAGACACAGAGGCCGGCGTCCTTGAGCTGGGCTGCAGGAGGAAGGCAGCAGTGTGGCGGGCCACCCTACAGAGCTGCAGGTCTGCGTGGAGCCACCAGGCTCCCTGAGAGCCTGCGGGGCTCTCGAGGGGCGCTGGCCGGGGCCACAGCCTTGGAGCAATGTTGTTCCAGCCTGGCCGCTTCCCTCGGGTAGGCCAAGTCTGTGGGCTTCGCGTGGCGCTCCTGCTGGAGGCTCTGGAAGGTCTGCGTGGGGGGTGGAGCTGACCCCCCTGCACCGCTCACCTTGTATGGCTCACCTGTAGGGCTCGGTCCTCAGGACAGGCACCGTGTTATGGGCCCAGTGCTGAGCTCAGCACGTGCTTGGTGGGCAAATAGAACGGGATATGGCCAAACCAAGTCCCTCCTCCTGCCTCCTCTCCGCTCCATCCTTTCCTCCTCCTGCCTCCTCCTGCATCATTCTTTCCTCTTCCTCCCTGTCCCCTGCCTCCACCCCCCCCCCCAGCAATGTTCTGAAGCAGGCCTCTCCCGACTTGGGGTCTTTGGGGGATACGTTTCTTCTGGACAGGAGGAGGTAGGAGGTTGGGAGCGGGCATCGAGAGCGGCAAGGGTGCTGGTGGGCCTCCCCGGAGCAGGCTGGGGTGAGGAGGAGCCCCCGCTCCAGTGTGGCTGCCCACCCAGCGCAGGGGTGTGGGGGTCCCACTGCGACTGGGGCAGCCCCCCCGCTCCCTGCCCGCTGCATGTCCTGTCACAGTACCCGTGCACACACGCGTGCGTAGTCCGTGTCGGCAGGGAGGGGAGAAAAGCCAGAGAGAAGAGTCCCTTGGAGACTTTTTATTGACTCTTGTGTGAAGTCCTTGCCGGGTCGGAGATGTGCGTGGGCACCCGCGGTGGGCACCCCTCACCGGGCTGCGGCGGCAGGTCAGGAGTGCGTCTGTTTGGGCTCGGGGCTCGGCTGGGCCATGGTCTTGTCCTGGGCGTGCTCCTCTTGTCTTTCGGTCTCCATCAGCAGCAGCTTGCCCTGCACGGGGAGCTGTTCCTCCTCCTCCTCCTCCTCTTCCTCCTCCTCCTCCTCCTCCTCCTCACCCTCCGACGACAGGGAGAAGTTGTCCTGACTCACGCAGGCCACGAGCTTCTTCATCGACGACTCGTGGCCGCGGCTGTGGCCTGAGCTCTGACCCGCGCTGTGGCCAGAGCTGAGCTTTGCGCAACGGGAACCCATGGCCGGCTTTGCCTGTCTCTCCAGACCAGGGGGGGGCGGCAACTGGAGAGCAGAGGGGCTGTGAGGGCGGCTTGGGGGGGCCGGGTGCTGACGTCACAAAGAGTCTTCTGATGCATCGCAGCCCCACCCCAGAACCCCCCCCTCCCCGGGGCCCGGGGGGAGGGGCGGGCTTCCTGCCTGAGGGGGAGGGCTTGTCTGGAGCTGAGGATGATACGCCTGTGTGGAGATGGGGGGGGGGGGGGGGCTGACGTGTTTCTGGCCGTTGAGCTGTGAACCTAAAATGTCACTTCCTGACCATTGCCCGGGTGCACACGCCCCCTTCTAAGGGCAGAAGTGGGGTCCTCGGGCATGCTGGAAGGCAGCAGCTACTGAGGTGGTGGGTTTTCTTTTTCTGGAGGGTGGTGGTGCTGGGGACGGAAGGCAGGGCCCTGCGCCGTGCTGGCGGTCCACCGCCGTGAGTGTCGCCAGGTCTGTGTGATGAGTGTGCTCCGGCGGCATGTGGCGTGGGAACACGCGCTCTCTGATGGTCCTCGGTTCCGAGCATCCCGGCCTCACGGTTCTGGGGGACACGCAGCCGTCCCATTTCGGGGAGTGTCTCCAGGGCACACCAAGCACGCTCACCCCCCCTGGCAGTGGGGTCAAGGCAGAAGCACGGGGCCTGTGGCCTCAGGGAGGGCTACAACGTGACTGTTTCGGCCACCACTTTGCCGCATTTATACCACGCACGCACGCACGCACGCACACACACGTATGCACACAGGCGCACAGAGCGGAGGCACGCAGCGCGTGGGTTCGTGTCAAGCTTTATTTGGCAGGTGGTGTTGCTCATGACTCAGGTCTTGTGGGTTTCTTGGCAACTTGGCATAGGCATCAAGGCTGAGGGTCAGCGTGGAGGGGTGTTACGGCCTTGCGAGATCTTCCTTGGTCAGGTGGCTGCTCCTTGGCTTCGGGCAGTACGGAAGGGGCCGTGGGGGCTTACTGAGAGCGCCTCCTGCATCTCCTCCTCCTCCTACAGCCTTTGGGGAGAAAAGAGATGCGGTAGTAGAGCTGCCGGGGTCAGTCTGGGGTGGAGGGGGCTCAGGCCTGGCCTTTGGAAGCTGCTGGGGCTGGGGGTGATCCCAAGCCTCCCCCCTCCCCGCTGCGGCGTGAAGAGCCTGGGGTAGCAGGGTGAGGACCGGGCGGGCCTCGGCGGTGCCGCCCGCCGTCTGTGCCTACAGCAGCGTCTCCTGCGGCGGCAGGACGGGCGGCGGCAAGACCGGCGGCGGCGGCAGCATGGGCGGCGGCGGCGGCAGGACCGGCGGCAGGACCGGCGGCGGCAGGACCGGCGTTGCCCGTGGATCCGGTGCAGCCTTCTTCCAGAGCAGCGGCTGCGGTGCCGGACGCAGCCCTGGTGTGTTCCGTAGGCCTCGACCTGGTCTGAGCCCTGGTCCTGGTCCCGGTCTCGGTCTCGGTCTCGGTCTCCATCTCGGTCCCGGTCTCGGTCCCGGTCCTGGTCCTGCCCCGGCCGCCCCTGGCGCCGGCGATCGCTGGGGCTCCTCACGCGGTAGCGGACCATGGTGCTGGGCGAGGAGAAGCTGAGCTGCGGCTGGCCTGGTGGAGGAGGAGGTGAGGCCCGGCCACCTGCGCTTGGTGTTGATGTTGATCTGGTGCGCAAGGCTGCCTGGGGCCCCGAATATAAGGGGGTCCCCTCTATGACATGGCAGCCCACCCGTGATTGTCCCCCCCACCTTGCACAGCCCCTGTGAGGGCTGTGCCAGGCACTCAGCCTGGGGTGAGGGCAGGCCGGCCCTGGCAGCCACGGAGACCCACTCGTCCCAAGAACAGGAGCCAGCTTCTTAGTGTCCAAATAAAAGCTAGGCGACCTGCAGTGTGCCCACACTCATTCATTCCAGATGCTTCCCTGCGTCCTTGGGGCTCAACCGTGACGTAGGCCCACCACTGAGCCCATAGCATGGCCACCCTCTCCGATCCCCCCGCGTCCCCCCATTTTCCCCGCGTTCACTTTTCTGTGGGGAAACCAAGGCGGCTCAAGATCCCTGCTGGTGAGAGGTGGACAGGGCCAGAATTGAGCTGAAGGCCAGGTGGCCTCAGAGGCTCCTTCCCAGCCCAAGTGCAGCAGAGGGCTTCTCTGCCTTAGCCGGGCGCCAATGGCTCACCTAGCTCCTCAGGAGGATGAGGTCTAAGGATCGTGGTTCGAAGCCAGCCTGGGCAGGAAAGTCAGTAAGATTCTTCATCTCCAGTTAACCTCGGAAAAAAACAGAAATGGAGCTGTGGCTCACTGTGATAGAGCGTGAGCCTTCAGCAAAAGAAGTTCATGGATAGCGTCCAGACCCTGAGTTCAAGCCTCAGGACCAACCCCCCCCCCCCCCCCACAAAACGTTTAATTGTGACACAGAGAAACATAGAAATTGTACCTTTGGAGCTGGGGTGTTAGGGTGTTACCTAGCACGTGTGCGGCTCTGAATTCTATCTCCAGCACCCTCAAAAAAAGTGTATACAGTACAACATGCAATGTGTGTTGTGTTGTGTGGTACTGGGGATGGACGCACTAGGCAAGAGCCATGTGCCCAGCCTGGCCTGAAACTCAAGATCCTCCTGCGCTCCACTCTCTGAGCAGCTAAGACTACGATGTTAACTACCATGCCTGGTGTTACCAGACCCACAAGTGAGTGATGCTATGGTCCAGAACCAGATCCATAGCATCTGCAACCCGTTTCCCAGTGGTGGAGCCCGGGGCGGATGTGGTGGACAGGTCAGCGCCTCCCGTCCCCCCAGAATACACAGAAAATGGGACTACAGCGGGGGAGTGGATGGATGTGAACCTGTGTGTGAAGCTGTGGATGTGTCGTCTGGTGGCAGAAGGGACCTGTGTGGGGAGAGACCCTGGCATCCTGGGTGGGCACGCTGTCACAGAGGTCTTTATGAGATGGGAGACACAGGGGAGACTCAGGGAGGAGACTTAGCTTCAAAGGTGAGGGAAAGCTGAGGCCCTGGGCCAAGGAGCACGGGGCCCTGTAGAAGCTGGGAAAGGCCAAAAAATGGATCTTCACCAGAGAGGCTTCTGGAGGGAGCCCGCCCTTGACTTGGAGCCTTTGGGCTCCAGCAGTGTAGGACAGCAAACAGTTCTGAGCCAACGTGGGGGGAGAGCCAGCGGCAGAGGAAGCAGGGCTGACAGTGAAGCCCTTTCGGGGGTGGCAGGGGTTAACGTGCCGATCCAGGGGCTTGAGCTCAGGGTCTGGGAGCTGTCCCTGACCACCTTTTGACCAAGGATGGTGCTCTACCATTTGAGCCAGAATTTACACAGACTTTCTTGCCTTCTGTATGATCCTCAGATCTCAGCCTCCTGAGTAGCAGGGATTACAGGCATGAGCCACCGGTGCCTGGGGATGAACAACTCTACACAAACCAAAGGCTGGCGCGCCCGCTAGGGCTGGGTGGTGCCCAGGGCACGTGATGGTCACCATGGCACAGCAAGGCTCTCCTCGCCTGCACGACCCTGGGAGCCCCAGGTGTGGCTCGGGTTTCGTTTACCAATACTGGGGGCTTGAACTCCAGGTCCTCGTGCCCCCAACCCCGGCAAACCTCAGTTACTCAAATTACTCAGTTAACCCGAGCCCCACCACGGGCTTGGGCTATGGGGCTTGAAGTCCATGCCCACGTCCCCAACGTTCCCCAAGCTGATACTGGCTCTGTGACCCCCCGCAATGAACCCAAGCAAGGTGCCACCAACTCCATTGCTCATCCAAGCACCAGGCCTCAAACGCACACGGCCCCGCATGGTGCTCCTCCACGGAAATGGGAAGGCAGGTTCAAGGCGCTCCTCTGGTGTGATATCTCCACTGTGCAAGGTTCTGAGCTTCTGAGTTCTCTGCCACCCCCTCCGACCCCCCCTACTCCCACCATCACTACCGACGCCCTCCCCTCCCTTCCCCCACTAAGGACAGGAGGCAGGAGTGCGATGATTTTCAACATTTATTGACAGGCGGCATTGTTCCTCATCAGGCTCCTGTACGCGCACGGCATGGTGGTCTTCTCTTCTCAAGATGTGACGGTGGGGTCTTGAAGTCCGGTAAAATTCTCAGGCAGGCGTTTGGATGGATTTGCTGTGCGCGTCTAGCATCTTCTGCACCTCAGGGTGCATCTGCGGCGCCGGCGGCAGCACCCTAGGGAAAAAAAACAAAGAGGGGGGTTCAGGCCCTGGATCTCTAGGTCCTCCCTCCCAATTAGGCCTCTGCGCACTTCTCCTGCGTCTGCGGCAGCATCTCCTCCTGCGTCTGCGGCATCTCCGCCTCCGGCGGCATCTGCTCCGGCTCCGACTGCGGCAGCAGTATCTGGCCATGGTGCTAGGTGGTGAGCTTGGCCTGTGTTCAGCTCAGAGCAGCGGCACCACGTTGGTCGAGCCAGCCAACCTGTGAGCAGGTGGAACTTTTGGGGCTGTGAGCCAGGGCCCCCGGGCCTCATTCTCTTATAGACCCCCGGCCCCCCAGGCACTGTGAGGTCAAAGAGGGTCAAGGTGGCCCACATCATGCCCATATATGGGCATGTGTGGAGAGGGCAGGGACCCCAGCCCAAGGCTGCCGGTGTCACAATGAAGGGGTGGCAAGGCGGCATCTGTCCATCCGTTCATCCGCTCACCCACCTGGCTGGCTGGCTCGCTTGCTCAGTGAGACGTCATTACGAACGCAGTGATACGTAAGTGACGCAGTCCTGCCTGGCACGCTTCATGCCCCAGGCACGCGACATCCTCGCCCAAGAAGGAGCCTGGCTTCTCCCGTGAGCTGAGGCAAGCAGCCCTCCTGCGTCAGCCTCGGGGAGGCCCCGAGGGCCCGGGGAGGGGCCGGCGGCCACGAGGGACGCGGCACTCGCCACTGGGAGATGCCGGCATGGGCACCGCGGCCAAGGATCGAGGCCATCCTGGCTGTGTATGATCTGCCCCGTGGCCCCTGTGAATTTTAGGGTTACCCAAGGTAGCAGAATGGTTTGGCAATATCACAGAACCC